TCCTAGCGAGCAATGTTGTTCTTGTGGGGCAGGACCTGTTGGGCTGACAGAAGGTGCGATACATATCAGCCCAACAGCAAAAATATAGTCGGTGCCCACTTCGCTTTGCCAAGTGGGCACCGATGAAGAAGTTTTCAGAGGGGGGGGGACTCACAAATTGATGTTCGGATAGTCAAGGGATAGACCGATATTTGAGAAGCCAGTTGAGTTGATGGTCAAAAAAGAACAAGCTATGATCCAAGTACCACCTGGTGATTGATGATCTGGTTATTGGATAATGAAGCTGGTCAGCCGAAAATTTTTGAGGATGAATCAGGTCGATACTCACCTCTGCAGGGATCCAATCATGATGACAGAGGATTTGAAAATAGTTTTAATTTGCAATTCTAACTGCATGATTGTGAATCCGGTTGGAGTGGTGTAATTGCTTGAAGTGGACAATTGGTTGACAATCCCTGAAAGCCAAAGGAGCTTGGATGTTGAAAGGTTTAGTTGAAAATTAGTCAGTTGAATTTGAAAATCTCCTAGTAGGTAGTGAAAAGAGTTGTGAAACGTACTGGAGGGTACGCCATGGTTGGAAATTGGACCAGTGTACTCCACTCTACCTCCAAAAAAAAGCAAGAAGAATCTCACCTCACACTAGAGGAACCTTAGTTATGAATGAGGATGATCATTTATTTACTTCAAACTTACAAAAAAAGAATAAGAACTGGGGTGATTGATAACAAGATTGGAAGGTGAAATTATTTGTGTACTTTGAAATGCATCTACTGATTAAGGGGTTTCATATTCAGATGATGAGTGGTTACAAGAAGTACTGATGTAAGATTCAGAAACATTGGAAATGTGTGATCCAGATTCGTTGGAAAGATGGGAGTCGTATTCACTGGATGAGTCAGTTGGTGGGATATATTGGGCAACAACATGGGGGAGCATTTCATGAAAAACAAACCATACATTTCCTGTATTAATTTGAGAAAAATCCCAACCAAGATTCCCCATGACTTCAATTGCCACTTCATGAAAGTCAAGAGGAGTATGAGCAAATAACAAATCAAGATTCGGGTAGTCTGTCTGTAACATCAAGTCGATATCTGAGGAAGGCATCTTGAGGAGTTGATTGGTGGTTCCAAAATATTCAGGGGTGCTATATGCAAACTCCGAGCTTACACCGGTTGGAAGTGTGGTGAGATGATCCCGTCGCTTTCGGTAGTTGTTATACGTATCAACCCAGCTATCAACACTTGCTTGGAGTACAGGAACCCACAGAAATAGAAACAAGAGTCTGAAGCAGGCAAGTTAGTAATAATCGAAACAAACAAAGAGTTTCATTATACTCACTTTTGAACATCATCTTGGTCATCATAACTCCCATCTTCAATGTGACTTTGAATATCGTGTTTGATTGCACGGTTGTGCTGCTTCATCATCTGAGACCAAAGGGATTCAATTTTTTGATTATGTGTCGACTTGGTGTAATGCATTCGCTTTGCTGCATCTTCCAGTGAGATTTCCATGTGAGTATATGTTAATTCCATCATACACCTAGCCATTTTAACAGTTTCGGTACCACAGTCGGTTGTGAGTAGGAGTGGGATTCCACCAGCCTTAGATGCAAGTTGAAGGAAGTACACCGCAATGTGGCGAGGGTCGTTGTTTGTTACATGAACAAACATCCCAAGAATTTTTCTTGACCAGGCATCGACGAATCCGTATATGGTAAGTCCAAAGCGCTTCAACTTATCATGTCCATCACTGGACCAGATGTGGTTGGGTCCATTTGTTTGATATATTTGACGTTTGCATACACCTCGTAGTCGAGCAGCCATACCCTCTGGATCGATTTCCCTGAGAACATCATAGACTAACCGTCTGAAATTGAAAGGTAATAGGTTATTCTGTAGTTTATTTTTGTAAGACCAGGACAAGGATACTTACTGTGGGATTTGAATATCATATTCCCTCATGAGGATCATTCTCATCCTTCGATAGCCAGCATCACTTTGTAGCCTTCTAGTTCGAGCATCGTGGATAGCATCATGTACTTGCTGAATAGTAATTTTACCATGAGTTACATCGTTTCGAAGAAGTTTCAAGTTAAGCTGTTTTAAGTAGCGCTTGATGGTACGGATGGATACATTGACACTTGTCTCATTAGCTAGCTGTGCCTGAATCTCGTTTAGATTCATTCCTTTGGAGTGTGAGGAAACTAGTGAGGCTCGAATCTTGGGAGATAGTGGTGTGGGAGGTGGTGCTTGTTCAAGATCGCATAATCGGAGTCCCCATTCTTTTCGTTTTTGACTGAGAGTTCTAGCAGACATCTGTATTCCATGTTCATCCCAAAGAATTTTTAAGATATGGGGACCTTTGTAGCCAGTTGAGAGTAGATTTTGAACTATATTTTTTTGGTGTTGTTCGCTAGTATCAGGAGGAGCTGAATCACTTTCGGATGAGTCGGATTGGGTATCAGAGTTAAACGAGTATGGTGGATCATCTGGACCAGAGTTTTCTGAACAATTATCGGAGGTGAAGATCTCTTCTCTATCTGTTACAGAACTTTCTTCATTATCGGAAGCCGTTTCATCGTCCTCATCTTGGTCTGAGCTGGAAGAATATTCCTCAACTGATTGATTTGATTGGGTTTCGGAGTGACTAGACCTAGAGGTATTGAAAGATTGTTCGCTGGAAGCGTGCTCATTAGAAGATACCTCTGTTGAGGAGATTTCTTCATCTGAATTATTGATGCTGGAGGTTTCAGCATCAAAAGAAGAGTTATCACTCATTTTTTTGGGATTTCAGGAGATTACTAATGTAATAAAAGTGTGATGTTAGTACTGATAATGAAAATGAGATGTCGAAAGTGGTAGAACACAAGATGTGTCTCTTGTTTTCCTAGAGTACTTATTATTTACACGAGTTGAGCACCTCTACATGTAGTGCTTGCATCGGTGAGAAGAATTTTTTTTTTTTTTCAAGTTTACATATGTACATAGCATCAGTGAGCAAAATTTATTTTCAAGTTTACATATGTATATACATGAGAAGGTGAGAAAAAAAATTAAGTTTATGTACAAGAAAAAAAAATCCTTGGATGCATGAGTAAATTTATGTATAAGAAAAAAAAATCCTCGGATGCATGAGTAAATCTGTAGTTAATGTATAAGATAAAAAAAAATTCCCTCGGTTGGGTGAGTGACTTCGGGGGGGATCAGTCAGGGTGGCGCAATTTGGCGCTGGCGCGATCTGTGTCCCCCCTGAGCTTCCGTAAAAAACACTTAACAGCAACATCCAAAACAGTGCCCTCATCATCAAGATAGACTCAATATAAACAACTCAATCAGACATCACCACACACTGACTCAACCTGCAGAGACATCCCAAGCAAACTGGCTGAGCCATGTGAAATTGAAAAAAAACAGATGGGACAGCAAACAAAACAACAACCATCTTGCAGTCTCTCATACATAGTTGTTCATAAATCATATAGTGCACTCAATCAAAGCACTTGATAGAAAATAGACAAGCCCAATCAGTACTTGATCCATCATCATCATCATCAAAACATTGCTGTGTAAAAAACCAGCAGATCTAAAATCTGTTAGAGATCAACATAGTCTGAGAACAAAAAATGTAATCAACATCATTAACAGGTATCATCCTTCCTTAAAGGCTAAAGATTATCCAACATAACATCCATCTCAACCTATCATCTTTCTACCCAAAACCACTAGGAAACCTCTGTGAAAGAACAAAAAAAAAACCATTCATTCATTCTTATAATCAGGAAGGAAACATTAATTCAGACAGAACAAGACTCCCTCTCAAAAACAAAACAATCAGTGGGAAACTCTAACTAGAGGCAAAAGTGGAGGCAGGAGGGGTCAAGAAAAAGCAGATCATCCCACTATAGAAGTCAGTCCAAGCTGTAACAATCTGAGATTAGCTGAATCCAGCTCATCATGAACTGCTGTTCTTCCCATATTGAGCACATGAGACATGATCTCATCAGAAACCTCCCACTTCCCCAAGGAAAAAAAAAAAAACAATGATCACTTGATGACAAGTGGCATCAGCACAAGTCCAGCATGCTGCCCATTACCGATCCACTTCAACTCTGCCTCGACAGTCCCCCTGTAGCACACATTAAACCGGCCATCCTATTCGGGCTGCTGCAGAGTTCGAGCTACAGAGTAGCACTGATCAATCTTACACACAATCTCACCGGCCATCTACGTGAACATTTTCTCTTTCCTGGTCTTATGTTTGTTGAGCGAAGCTAGTGGCAAAGGTATCTGGAATCATAAACCAAAACAAATAACCACACACACACACACACTCTTTGATCAAGCCATTGTCTGGTGGAAAAAATACTACTCTTGATTAAATCACGGTTACAATTTGGTAATCATGAGGTACATACATATATGAAAAAAAAACATAAACCATGCAGGTTAATATTATACACCAGGAAAAATAATACTCACTTGTTGACAGGTGACATTGATCAACAATGGTCTTAGGTGTGTTCCGACTACAGCTGTACTACCAGTGGACTACAATCACCCCTTTTTCCTCTCCAGGGTGCTGTAATCACTCACCAGGGGGGTTAGATGATGGGTAGCACTAGCAGGCTGAACTTAGTCTGATGTCACCTGTCATGATTCATCTAGTAGTGATCATTCTTTTTTTTTCCTGGTGATAATTGATCAGCTTTATTGGACTTGACAGATTGATGTGATGGTACTGGCCACAGAAACAAGTTCTTTCTTATACTTTGATCACATCAATTTCTCACACTATTGGCAAGAAATTTGAGCAAGCAAATACATATCATCTGCAATGGTGCTATCAATTGATGGCCCAACAGCAATCCATAAGGCTTGTTTTGTGCTTTCTTTAAGCATCTTTTAGATTAAATATACAGAGTTGCAAAGTTTCTGAAGACCAGTTTCAATTATGTCCTATTCTTAGTCATTCACAATTCACATCAATTATCTTACAAAAATAGAATCAATTACTTGGAATGGATAGAGTACAAGAAAATAAATTATGAGAACATTGAATTAAAACTGGAAAATTAGGAAATGAAATGAAATATGAACATGATTTTTCAACACTAGAAAATATGGCAAAATACAGAAAATGTAAAATTGATTTCATTTCTCACATGAGTTGTGACGTTTCTGCACAAGTTGTACATACCGTATTAGGCTGACCTAATTTTGCATGGCTGTGAGTTTGACAAGCTGCAGCCCTTACAAAAATAGTGACAATTAATGAATATGAAAGCAGCCTTTTATTATAAGAAATATGCAACCAGATTCAAACATTTTGAGAGTTTCAGTATCATGTTCAAATACAGCTGACTCATAAACACATGTTTGGAGATGGGTGGATCATGCCCTGAGTATGTATAGCCACAATTATAAGGTTTCCTCCTCAAGCTTGGGGGAAAACAAATTAGCTTATCTACATAGCAGTACTATCACCATATAGTTAGCTCGATGATCAGGATGAATAGAGCTTATCATCCTTGGTTGCTTGGAATAACCTTCTACCTGATTTCTTGTTTTGAGTTCTCATTCTGTAATCCACCCACCTCTGACTGTGCTCCACTTGTCTCATCAGCAATCGATGCTCTTGGACATGAATCCGAATTCAACTTCCATGATCGAGAGCTCGGACACGATTACTTTCAAATTTCGAGGGGTCAAGGCAGGGTGTCAAAGACCGACACCGCTGTTGATTTAATAGAACCTACAATACTGAATACATGGAATATAGGTTTTAACCCAGACGGTAAGAAGATTATATGGTCTCACTCTTGCTTTAGTTCGCAGTGATGTTGATCAAGTTGGTGCTTGGATTACATCAATAAATTACGGGGACATGGACAACGGCTTAGATCATGATGGATGGTGGGAAGAAATTAGCAACGATCTAGGGGATGGTTCAAAACCAGACACATTGAGAGCAATCACACCGGATCAAATGGAGCAGAATAGTGAGTCTGAATAGGTTATATAGCATCCCTCCCACATAGTGATGTAGAGGATTGATTGCAAACAATCGGATCATTTTGAATCTGGATCACCAGTGGCTGGTGGTGATGACCAAATTGATACTTCGCAGATCAAAACTTCAAAGAAACGCTTGGGTAAGGTTCCAGATAACAAATTCAAACTTGACCAGGAACTCGAATCAATGGGAGAACCTCTACAATCTAATTTAAGACCGGAGAAGCGCCCTCGCAGGTCTGTGGATGAGCGCCGGAAGCTCGTCAGATGTGCATCTAATCACAAGCCTGGGGACTTTGAAATCATCGCTTTGGATTCAAAATGGGATCCTTTGCTTGCTTGGGCACAGGGATCGCTCGGAGAAACTGCAGACTCGGCAGTCATGCATCACTTGGTGCTCTGCTTTGGTAAACAAGTCAAGAAGATAAACGAAAAGTTGACTCTTGCCAAGCCTTATCGAAAAGTCGAATTCAGAGAGCTGCCAATCGACTTCATTCTAGCTGATTCTCCTGATACAAATGAACCAGGCTGCCATTACTTTTTGATTCAACCAAAAGGTCTGAGAGGACAATCATATCATTTTTCAAGAAAATTGAACACTATCATAGTTCAATTTGTAGGAATTCTGGAGGCTCTTGGACTGTATCATGGACTTTCAATTTTGTATGGAGTGGACAAAAGGATCTTGGGCCACAAGATGAAAGATAGTTTGGAAGACTTGGTGAATTGGTTTTGGGGAATTTTCTTTGAAGAAGCTGAAGATGGTCCTGCAATTTTTGGTTGGTTCAAAGGAACATGGGAAGCTGCAAAACAAGCTGGAAATGAATTTGGAAGCATCAAGAAAGTAATGTTACTCATCTTGGCCAACTGGAACTGGAGCAAAATAAGCTTCAACCATAAATCTGAAATTGCTCTTTCATTGCTAGGCTTTTGGTATAAGACAAAGGCTGATATGGAATCTGGTTTGGAAAAAATTGGTGATAAAGTACCTGAGATCTACTGGAATGCAATGGCAGAAATAAGTCAAATCAAATTAAAATCTTGGAAGCAGATTGAAATCAATTTTTTACATGAAGATAATGTAGAGAATAGGTCTGTCACTTATAAGGAGACAAATGAAGTGAGCAAATCAATTTTTAATTCAATGAAATTGCATCTTCAAAATGAGAATTCAGGTGTTGAGCAATTTCTCAGGACACACATCAAGAACAAGGTACACGATTTTGTGTCCAGGAGCAGGTTTGATTTATGTTATGAAAGAATGATAAGCTTGAATGGTTTGCCCATCTGTTTAATTCCAGTGGCCACAGCCCAAAGGAATTCTATCAATCAAGAATTTTTCATCGGATTGAGAGGGATTGAAGATCTGCCAAGGAAGAGGCAGAATAAATCCAGGATAATCAAAAACAGAACCACTCAAATAATCCAGTCACTTTATGCTATCCATAGTCTTGCAACAGAGATTTTTTCAGATCAAGAGAAAAACATCCTGAGGCTTGATGATTTGATCAAATGGTTTCTGAATATAATATTTGATCAGACTGATTCCAGATTACCACTCTTTGGCTGGGTTGCAATTCAATCAAATCATCTTCATTCACCAAACAAGTTGTTCAGCAATGCCCAAAAGTATTTGTCAGTGAAATTGAATGAGTCAGGAACTTGGTCAATGTATACTGGAATGAATATTGCAATCTCAGTGTTTGGATTCTGGTATGAAGAAATGACATTGATCAAAAGCAACCTAAATTATCAAGGTGGTGACCAAGACCATTCATTTCAGAATGTTTTAAATAAAATGGATAATTTTGCTACACAAAAAGATGGTTTCTACAGTTGATTAGGGAAACTTCATACAACTCAGTTAAGCCTGCTCATGAAATAACAGAAATATTTCATTGATTTAAACATTTTATCTGTCTTATATTTCTCATCTTATTTGTGTAGTGATTTATCACAGAATATTGTTTATTTGTCTTTCTCTGACATGATATGAAGACAAATTAAGTCTGTGTGTTGAGCTCAAGCCATCACATAAGGCTTTTTGTGAGCTCCTCCCTTAAGTAAACTATCATGTGACTGAAAGGGCTTAGATTAGCAGGCACAATTTGCAGTGTGTGCTCAAATTTTGTTTTAGGGCCTTGGAAAAACATCTCCCTTGGATTTGTCAACAACTCCCAAATACTATTGATGGATTTCCATTGGGACTTGTTCCTCCAAATGGATGGCCAACTTTGGGAGTTGGCCATCCATTTATATATTTTTTTATTTCTGAGAATCAGCTCCCCAAACCACCCCTCACACTTGGGGGGGGGGGGAGTCACTCCTACTCAGAAGAAAGGATTCTGGTTGACAGGGGATAACAGGCTAACAGCCTCATTGATAAGAAGGAATCCCTTCTGGCCAATGAGCTTGTTATACCTCATTGACCAGAAGGGATTCCTTCCAGCCAATGAGATTGCTATACCTCATCAACCAGAAGGAATCCCTTCCGGTTGGTGAGGTATAAAAATCTCATTGACCAGTGGGAATCCCTTCCATTCAACAGGGGATAACAACCCCATCAACCGGAAGGGCTTTCTTCCGGTCAATGAGATTGCTATACCTCATCAACCAGAAGGAATTCCTTCTGGTTGATGATGTATGAAGATTCCATCAACTGGAAGGAATCCCTTCCGGTCAATGAGGTATGAAAATCTCATTGACTGGAAGGAATCCCTTCCGGTCAATGAGGTATGAAAATCTCATTGACTGGAAGGAATCCCTTCCGGTCAATGAGGTATGAAAATCTCATTGACTGGAAGGAATCCCTTCCGGTCAATGAGGTATGAAAATCTCATTGACTGGAAGGAATCCCTTCCGGTCAATGAGGTATGAAAATCTCATTGACTGGAAGGAATCCCTTCCGGTCAATGAGGTATGAAAATCTCATTGACTGGAAGGAATCCCTTCCGGTCAATGAGGTATGAAAATCTCAATGACCGAAAGGAATCCGTTCCGGTCAATGAGGTATGAAAATCTCATTGACTGGAAGGAATCCCTTCAGGTCAATGAGGTATGAAAATCTCATTGACTGGAAGGAATCCCTTCCGGTCAATGAGGTATGAAAATCTCATTGAATGGAAGGAATCCCTTCCGGTCAATGAGGTATGAAAATCTCATTGAATGGAAGGAATCCCTTCTGGTCAATGAGGTATGAAAATCTCATTGACCGAAAGGAATCCCTTCTGGTCAATGAGGTATGAAAATCTCATTGACTGGCAGGAATACCTTCCGGTCAATGAGGAATTCCTTCTGATTGATGAGGCTGTTATCCCCTGTTGACTGGGAAGATTTCGTTCTGGGCCCTGGTCGAGTGGGAGCAACTCCCAAACCTCCCCCCCAAGTGCAAAGAGTGGTTTGGGGAGTGGACTCCCAGAAAATAAAAAATATATATTAAAAATTTATGAATGTAAATGGATGGCCAACTCCCAAAGTCGGCTATCCATTTGAAGGAACAACTCCCAATGGACGTCTGTTGACGGTATTTGGGAGTTGTTGACAAATTCAAGGGAGTTGTTTTTCCAGCCCCCTTGTTTTAATTGTTTCATTGCATCTGGATGATAAGAGGAAAAGCATATCTGCAAAAGAGAAAGACATGCAGAAAAGGAAAAAAGAGCTTAGTTATAAGGATGTAGCATGTACAACATCCAGAAGAAGAAGATGTCCATCCCAAGGCAAACTGGGTTATTCTCCCACATTTATCAACCCAGCTCAAACTTTACTCCCCACCTGGGTTACAAAAAAGCTGATATTTTGACTCAATCACTTTGGCTGACATCATCCAAGAGTGAACTACTGATTCTGTGCCACAAAAAACAATCATTCAGGGCAATTCTGCACAATCCTACTTGTTATGGAGCCCAAAAATCAGTATACTAGTGATAGCAGCTTACACTGTGACTACCACTACTAGTGGTGGAATTAGCGGCACTGGTCAGAAGCTTTTCCTTGGCACAAAAAGCAAAGGCAAAACACAACAATGTGTAGCAAATTATGACTTGCACTGCTCTGCTATGTACCACTTTGTCAATCAGTGCCATGTGCCCTTGCCACCTTATTTGTTTTTCAGAACTCCCACATTTAATTCTTTCATCACGAGATTCTCCAAAACATAGACAAACTCAAGTCACATCATCAATA